TATACACTTTCTTACCTCAATACCACTTCACTCTGATTGGATAATTGCCTCATTTAAATTATTGCATATTAATTAGAATCTTTGGTAACTGATGCTGTATATAGTTAGTATCTTTATTAATGTATTATTCCTGATGATGCTTTAATAAAAGCGAAAAGTTGAATAAAATGGCCTTGTCAAGTATAGGAGTGACATTCATACTGGGGGCCAGTTCCTATTTTTTTAATGTCAACCCCACCCATTTTATAGGCTTACAAGTCTTCCTAATAGGCCTACTATTACTCTTAGTTTTTCGACATCATCTAAGATAAGCCTTGTTTTGTAAAAATGAGGGAATGCAGTTGGCAAAGGATATGGTGTGGGGATAAAACAAATCTCCTACCCTTCTACCACTAGAAATTTCCACAAAAAAAAAATTACCTCATTTACTAAGTAGTTAAACAAAATGTCAGCATCAGAAAGTTCCCAATGAGGAGTCAGATTCCCTTTCCATGGATTTACCTCAGCTCAACCATGGTTGGATCTGAGGTGAGCAATTTTTTTAAATAAACACCTAGATTCCCGGAAATGGCACATTCAGTGGTAGACACACATCAAACAGTGTTTTCTACAGAATGACATGCCCACCAGCCTGCTCCACAAATCCGCTAATAGTTAGGCACACATCAATGATCCCCACTGCCCTTAATCATTTATCCCCATCAGTCTCCCTCTCCCCCATTGCCATTAGGACAAGAATCACCAACCCGTCTCCTCTCCCCATGGCAAGACACTAGATAGATATAGTGAGCTACACTAAGAAACACTAATAATGCTAAAGTAGGTAGTCATGTTTTTATTAACAAAAAAACTTTTTTCTGTAAGTATTGGAAATCAGGCGGAAAAAGATTTATTTTTTAGTGATGTTGCGCGGGCCGGATCAAAACATTTGGCGGGCCGGAGTTTGCCAGTGGGCCGGGGGTTGAATATCGGAGGAATAGAAGCTTTTTACATTACACGCTTATATATATGCAACATTATTATTATTATTATTATTATTATTATTATTATTATATACCCTCCAATTAAAGACCACCTCTAATTAAAGACCAATTTTCTGCAGTCCCAGATGAATCCGTATCTGTGATAATTAAATAATAATTATCAGAAAGATAAAAGATGAATTCTTATCTTATATGTTTATGATGATTACTGTTTTAAATTGAGACTAATTCTACTGCCCCAAAAGTTACATTTAATTTGAAGTCCAGTATTTTGCCTACTTTATTTATATTTAAATGTTCATGTTTTACTATTGGTCAGTAATTAGAATAATATTTAATCTAAAAATTAGTATGTTTTATCTGTTTGTGTTAGAATGATTTATGGCTTCAGCAAACCAGTCTATTTTTGGAAAATTGAGTTTTTTGGTATTTTTAGATTCTGCATGAATTAATTAATTTTATATCAGTCATGTAGGTTTTGAGGAAACAGCTTCAAAAGACTCCAAAATCAGTAGTTATTATTTAGATTTGTATTTTTAAAAAGATTTTAATATGCTTTTCAGTTAGATTTAGTGTCTGATATTTTGCAGAATAATATTCAGTATACCTTCTTTTATAAAATGCAAAAAACTGAAAATTAGAAATTGCGACAAACATCGAGTTGAGTTTGCTTTTGTTTATCATAGTGATTAATAGTTTTTTATGATCTGGTTTTTTTCATCTTTCCATATTTTTAAAACCAACATGATGTACTATATTTATCAATTTGTTCTTGTTTTTCTAAGAATCTATTTACAAGGTTATTATGACTAAATTGATGTTTGTTAATCTTTGACACAACTGTGATTTTATTTTTATCTTCAATTTCTGCTTTTGGTTTCTTGTTATATTGAAGGCTAAATATAAAATGATCATAATTGTTATTGTAACATTTAAAAGCCTCACACTTTTTAGTATAAGTCCAGTATTTTATCTACTCTATTTATATTTATATGTTTATGTTTCACCATTGGTCAGTAATTAGAATAATATAGAATAATCATTATCTAAAAATTAATATTTTTATTTGTCTATTAGAATGATATATATGGCTCTGACAAAACCAGTTGTTTGTCGGAAAAATAAAAAATTAAGTTTTTGGTATTTTTAGATTCTCCATGAATTTGTCTTTTACAAGTTTTTATTTGATTGAAATTGGTTGAGTATTAGCGAAGTTATGAATATTTAATTCATTAGATATCAGCCATGTAGGTTTTGAGAAAACAGCTTCCAAAGATTGCAAAATTAATAGTTTATTACTAGGATTTAGATTTTAAAAAGAATTTTAATATGCTTTTCTGTTAAATTTAGTGACTGATATTTTGCAGAAAAGTTCTTCAATATATATTCTTTTTATAAAATGCATAAACCATGAAGCAAAATGCAAGAAAATGTTCAAAATTTTAATTCTCGGAAATTTTGGGTGCTTGTGCAAAATTCGAAATTTGCGACAAACGACAGGTTTTGACGGAGCCAGTTACATGCGTATACAAAGGCTGTGAGTTTGCTTTTGTTAATCATAGTGATTAATGTTTTTTTATGATCTGGTTTGTTTCTTCTTCCCATATTTTTAAAACCAGCATAAGAAGTTGACGTACTAATATTTATCAATTTGTTCTTGTTTTCCAAGAATCTATTTACAAGGCTACAGTGACTAAAAATTTGCTGTTTGTTAATCCTTGACACAACTGTGATTTATTTCATCAATTTCTGCTTTTGGTTTCTTGTTATATTGAAGGCTAAATATAAAATGATCATAATTGTTATTGTAATATTTAAAAGTATCACATCATTTAGTATAATTACAGTAGGTCTTCCCCTTTTTTTTTTTATTAGATATTTCTTGCAACTGATGTCTCCTATGCAGTATTACGACGGGAATTCAGTTTGTTTAACGGTATCACGCTCGATGAAAGCGGCAATGAACGAGCTGTTAAGTTACAGTAGACAAAAGTATGCCTAATCTTTACCCATGAAAAGACCCTGGAGCTATTAAAACTGTCAGCAAAAAATATTTAAATTTACGTAGTCATTCATGCGTAGAACAATGGTAAGAGACTGTAGATGGTGTTGGGCTCGACTAGCAGAACACATTAGAAGGCCGTTCGTTGACTCCAGATAAAGTGCACTGTTGTATGCGGTCCCTTGTTTGCTTATTATGTGATATGCTATATTTGAGTGTATCATAGAGGTGGCATAACCTGCTTATTAGATTAGTTTAAAAGGGGGTTTTACAGTCATTAGCAACACCCTAGTTATTCAGGGAGGTATAAACTATCTCTGTGTTTTGCATTACTTGTTTTATACCTTTTTTTAGCAGCCAACTTAAATTTTTGATAGGTAGTCAGAAGCTCAAAGTAAAAAAAATTTCATTTTGTTTTTCTCATGTAGCAAAATGATTGTGCCAAAAGCACCTTGGTTGGTGAAAAAAGTTAAATTTTAGTAATGAAACTAAAATGCTAGTTTGGGAGATAAAAATGTAATAGAGGGCGCCCTAGGCCCGTGTTGAAGATCCTGTTGTGGTTGTAAAGAATGAAAGTTGCATTGTAAACATATCTGTAATAATTGATTAATGCTTTATAATTATATGGCATTAAGGAAGATATATCTCTTTTTGGGAACTTTTATAGCAGCAACAAGTACTGTATATATAAATGAATTATGCATTTATTTTTGGATATTTTCGGTGTTTCAATGGAAGTATGAGTGCTATGTACAGTACTGGCTAAAAAAAATATTGAAAATCATCTTTGTCGGGTTCTGCAAAATAAGAAATAGGACTTGTCCTTGCGTGTTTTAAATGATTTGATGAGGCTCTTTTGGTATATCAATGGCAAGCCTAGGTACCTATAAATATTCTTTGCTTATTGATGTGATATTTTAAAGTTCTTTTCTTGATGAAAACCTTATGTATCTAAACATTACAGGAAGTGTTCTAAAAATAGATGCATGCTTGATTTTTTTTATTTGGCCTAAATTCTGTGTGCTAAAAAATAACTTAGATTTCTGACTAAAGGAAGTTGTGAAAATTAAGATGATACAGTATAAATTTATATGTGTACAGCGAAATCAGAGCAAATTATAAAGAAACATTTGACAGGATAATTCGCTTATTAATCAACGCTTCAAATTAAGTTTGAACTTACGTGACCTTTTTCAAATTATTGTTGACCTTTTTCCAATTTACATCGACCTTATAAGAATATGACAGGAAGTTGAAAATTTAAAGTGATATACCTCCTGGAACGGGCATTATTATGTTTGATTTATTGCAAATTTTCCTTAAAAATTAGTGATTATTTGTTGATTCTGTTTTCATTACTGTTTTATCAAAATTTTGGATTGTTTTCCACAAAATTTCAAATTGAATTAACTCGAAAATTGAAAGAATAGTTCATGATTCAATAATCCTCAATGTTTATATTATATTAATTTTTTTCGTTTTTTATTCAGAACACTATTATGATGATACTGTACTTGTTTTATTCATTTCATAGTTATTATTGGTGTATATATATATATATATTATATATATATATAGAAAATAATGAAACAACTTCATTAGTAGACTTTAGGAACACTGATTTATTATAAACTCGGATATTTCTTCCACTCCTGTGACCTTCATCAGCGAGAATAATGAAAACATCATGAATCAATATAATATAGGCTGTCTTATCAAAAAAGAATAAAGGTGACAGAGAGCAAATGAGAAATACTTATAAAACTGTAAAATGTTTGGTCTATTTATCTATGCATACTGAGTATCTACAATAATAAAGAACCAAGGGTGTTAATTGCAGAGACTAGTCAAATAAACTATCCATTGTATTGGCCAGCACAACACAGATAAGATAGACAAATACAGTTCGATTTCACTATAGAGTAATTGTTATGTCACAATACCACGTGATACTACTCCGTTGCTATCGCTGCAAAATATGTTCAACCGGACGCCATTTTCTCCACTGACAAACAATTGATCCCATTTTCTAACGTAATTATTAAGATGTTGTATCCTACTTTTTCTTTGTAAATTTTAATTGATGATTAAATGTGTGTTCGATAACTAATATAATGCGAGCTTTTGTGTTTTTAGTACATTTTGATGGTAAAATATTAGATTTTAAAATGCCTATTCCAGAAAGCCTATGAAGTCATTCAGGCATAATGAACTGTAACCAACGTCTGTCGACAACAGAGAGTGTCACCTGGCGTCGTGACGACACGATTGTGGTACTCTATATTCTACAAGTACCTATGTATACTCCCAGGTGGAGAGAGACAAATGTAAGCAAGTTGCTTGCCCACGGACACAAGCAAAATGCACAGCGAAGGTGCAAACCCACAACCTCAAGATTGAGGTAATGAATTACAGCTACTGTGCAACCTGCTCACAGAACAAAATCACTTTTAGTAACTTAAATATTCATAATAGGCCTAAGCAATTATAAAAATGTTGTATGTGAAGCCACTTTTTAGATAATTTCAAAAATCAAAACTTCGGATTTCAATGCTGTTGTAAAAATGGATGGGTCCCTGTTAGAAAGATTTATGAAATTTACAGATTGTAAAATGTGCAAAAAAATTAGATACCAGTACATACAAAATGGATGAAAAATGATTGACATGTTTTCTACATCAACATTTAAATGCAGTTATTGAGTCTAACAACCAAAATAGCACTTGGCAACAATAAAATTGTTGAATGTGAAGCCACATTTTTGATAATTTCCAAAATCAAAACCTCCGGATTTCAATGCTTTTGTGAAAATTGACGGGTCACTTTGTTGTAACGTGTAAATATAAAATACTAGTATGTAAGAAATAAATGTAAATGGTTGACAAGGATAAGCGTTCTTTTTAGCTTAACCTGATTTAGTTGATTGCTTTCATTGTGCTTTTTTTCTGAAAAATTGATTTTAATTCTTTCGTAAAAGTTGACGGGGCCCTTTTAGAAAAAAAAAATAGAATTTAAGTAAAATGTGTAAAAAAATAAAACACTTATATAAGAAATAAATGCAAATGATTGGCATGGACCTTACATCAAACATTCTTTGCCATTTGTCCAGCAGCGGATTCAAGGGGGGGTGGGGGCGAGCCGGCCCAGTTCCCCCACCCCTAAGTTTCTAAAAAATATGAATAGAATGGAGAAAAGAGAAATATTTTAACCAAATTTAGGTTTGAGAATGCCATATCTGGCCATCTAGAGGTGCATAATCAAAAATGTTCTTACCTCAGCCCCAACCATGGTGGGGCTGAGGTGTGTACACTCTCCATCTGTGAAAGTGTCCCCCCCCCCCTCCACACATGTGCTCCCGCTATTTCGAAACTCCTGGATCCACCACTGATGTCTAACGACCAAGAGTACTTCTTGCCTTTTTGATGTTAACCTTAGGCCTAAATCCAAGAAAATGAAAACAAACAAAAAGGATAACTTATTTTTCAGCAAGAAAAAAACACCGAAAAAATAAATAAAACTCATTTTGAATAGAATGGGAAGTTAACTTTCTCAATAGCCATTTAGAATGCACAAAGCTCCAGTACATAAATATATAATATTTTAAAAAGTTTCTGCATAGCACTGTAAACACAATATAAACAGATAAATAATAATGCTCAAATACTAACATGTAAATAATCAATTGAAATATATATATATATACTTAATTTCATATATATATATATAAGTATATATATATATATATATATATATTTCAATTGAGGAATCTGAAAAAGGATTATTACATGTTAGTATTTGAGCATTATTATTTATCTGTTTATATTGTGTTTACAGTGCTATGCAGAAACTTTTTAAAATATTATATATTTATGTACTGGAGCTTTGTGCATTCTAAATGGCTATTGAGAAAGTTAACTTCCCATTCTATTCAAAATGAGTTTTATTGTTAAACATAATGCAGTTACTACTTCTGCAAAAAAAATGTGTTTTTATGCAAATACAAAATACACTTTCAATATTACATTTGTTTGTTTTCTTTCGTTTTCTCAACTTGTGCGCTGTTGTTTATAGTCTGACAAATAATTAGCAGACCTACAGTAACCTATTTGCCTTTAAATCAGGTTATTGGTGATTACAGTACTTTTTCATGTTTACGAATTAATCACCGTCTATTGAAATTATCAAATTAATTTCCAAATTTAAAAGCTCCTATTAAAATATGAACAATGCAAAGAAAAAACAGTAAATTTGTAGGTAATATGTAGCAACAAATTGTAAGTTTCTAAAAAAAACTATCCGTTGTGACGATGTAGAGGGCGTCATAGCATTAAAACAAAAAATTTCGGCTTTTGTGAATCATGCGTGTTTCCAGGATGCATTTTACATCGTACGGCGGGCCCTGGTCCAAAAGGCCCCGGATACCGATCGCCGAAATAACACGAGCTAACTATGATCCTACATTAAGCAATACCTTTTGTACGAGAAAACAATATTTTTCTTTAAAACAAGGAAATTATTTTCAGTGAAGGATGACTGCCAATTTGTCACAGCATTTTTACGAAAATCATCGATCATTCGTAAGCGTGTAGTTGAACGGATACCTTTTTTTAGCATGCTGCCTGTAGGCCTGACCGACTCAACATTCGGACCGACTTGTCTTATTGACGCTTTTGACCACTAAAAAAAAAATCCCATTTTTTGTCATCAGACTGCTACTTTCAGCATCAACATCTGAGCTTAACGATTCATATAGACGATTTCGTTTCTCGTATCATAACCTACGTCCCCGTGAGCTTGTCTTGGGAGGGGGAGAACCTTGACCCTTGTTAACGACGGGTGCAACGCGCCACTTGGGTAAAACGATTGAATGCGATGTGGGGGTGGTAAAGAAAGCTGTCCATGGTGGGTAAACGGCAGAACCGGGGCTCTACCGGCAGGAGCGGGTGGATGCTGAAGAAGGTACTGATTGTCAGCGTTTGAGAAATAACTATGGCCTCCGTGTGTCGGTGACGAGATTTCACGAACTTGGTGAGTTTCACGGTCCGGATTTGTCGGCAGCCGACAGTTTCGGCACAGAAAGATGATTATTCCAACGATTAATACTGCTGTGATCGTCAACCCGGTGATTGTTTCAAGCACAATAAAGGCAATTTTGTGGGCATGTCCTGCTTTCTCGGGTGGATCTGCAGAGAGAAAGTTATGCAAAAAATATTATGCATAATATTAAAACTCTTAAGGTGATTCTTCCGACATGATGTAATGCATTAAGATAGCAAGACTGAAGTTTAAAGTTGCGTAAAAAACGAAAAACACACTTTGCTAAGTGTCTTTGTGTTTTTGAGATGGGGGGTTTTTTTTCGAGGCTACTTTTGCAAACTAGGAGGGGGTCTTCAACTTTAAATGTGCTTCTTCTCGAGATTAAGCACATTGGGTTCTATTCGAGGTTTTACGGTATCACTCGAACCCCACTACAATTATAATTACAACTGCCCAACCCAGAGAGAAGAAGTAATAAAAAAATATAAAAAACGCTTCAAAATGAACAATTATAATCATTTAATATAGTGAAGATGAAAAACAATAAAGATAGAGAAACAGATTATTTTAAGGAGCCTTTAAGACAAAATACAGAAAATCGAATAGCCGAAATAATTTTTTGGCTGGAGTTGTGATAATTTTAACAAGAAACGCGTCACTGATACGCTTGTCTTTATAGAACATTGGCTATTTCATCAAAAGTGTATCATAGGAATTTATGAATTATTTTATCTCTTTTGACCAACATTTCAATGTTTAATTGAATGCCGGTGTTTTTCCAGATATCTTTAATGAAAAAGAACCGGCTCTGAGAACCATTGCACACGGCATTAAAATTGAACAACATTGCATAATCCAAATTAATTCATTAATTTTGTACGGCATTGTATAGTTAAAATATGCGTTCTTTTATGAATGTGGTAATTGTATTTCATAGATACCACCTGGCGTAGTTAATGTATATGACGTGCGTTGGAGTTCATTTGAGCTTTAATGTAAACATGATTAAGAACATTAAAGCATGGCTGCGGTAGACGGATGAGCCAAATGCGCGGTGTATTATCTATTTCGAAACTTCTGCTAAATTACAATTTACGTATAAAAGAGGAAGGTTTTATTCTTATAATGTTATTTTAACACTTAGTAAAATACTCTATTAGCACATTACTATTATTCTAATGATTTCGGAAAAGTTCAACGCAAGTACAAACACAGAGGGCGATGTTTACAATGTTACACTCGCCTCGAACGTCATGGGGCAGTATAACCCCTATTAAGGGGACACCTTCGGGACCGAAAAAAGGTGTCCCCTTATTCAGGGATGTCACCTGAATAGGGGTTGACTGTAGTGTTAAAAGATACATTTCCCTCACTTCACGGCCAAAAAATATGTCCCCTTAATATGGTTGTCCCAAAGGAGGGGTTCTACTGTAATAGTAACAAAAAGGAATAAAAATGGTTCATATGTTTTTCGCAAATGTTTCATATCTTCTTGGTACTGATCGTATTAGCAACAACAGATCACAAATGTTTCATATCTTCTTGGTACTGATCATTAGCAACAACAGAATTGTTACTACAGGTCTTCCTCTCCCTCCAATTAAAAGACCACTTTTAGACCGCGGTTTTAATGGTGTGTAACGACGTTGGTCTCTACTTAGAAAAATTATTATTATAAAGATAAAATACATTCATTAAGAGCTATAGAAAGATGGTCTTTATTGGATTAGAAGGAGACTTGTATTGTTGGTATTATTGAAGTCTTATGCTATATTCCGGCGTTACCTAAAATATCAAGTTGAAGGAAAATGCTGAGGAAGATTTTTACGTGTGCTATACAGTAGGCCTATCATATACTGTAATTTGAATACCGCTTTATGCCGCTAACCAAGAGTTGTATAGGTATTACCAACTTACCTTTCTTTTTGATATTAGTTTTCCATGACGTAAAATGTATCTGTACGTCAATTGGTACTTGAGACTTAATTTGCCCATCGTATCGAAAACTAAAAGTAAATGCGTTTCCAGATGTGACTACTGGCATAGGTAAAGTTGTGGGGTTATCGTTTGTACATGCTGGTATTTCGGGCTGCACTGTTAAACTATTTATAGCAGGCCCATCGTAAATGACCATTTGAACATTGTCACAGGCCAGAGGGGTTTCGGCGGGAAGCTTAAATGAGAGGAATTCAAGTTGAAAGATCCTGTCTGCCGGGGCAAGAACTGTTAATATACAGTTCAAGTTTACGTCTGCTTGCTGGGCGAAGGTTGAGACAAGTCTACCAGCATCCATGTTGATTGTTTGACCACAGAGCTGGTCTCTGTGAGGACCAACCTCAACTGAAGATAGAATATAAAATGTTACTACATAGCATAAAATGTGGAAAATATAACGACTTATAAGGTTAAAGTTTTCAGGAAAAGTCTTTGTGAAATGCCAAAAAGTCATAAAGGTAGTTTGGTGATAAATTTATAAGCTTAAAACCAACACAAATGAAAAACAAACAGCTTAACAAATAACCCGAATCCGCAAAAAATATACACATTAGGGCTTAAGCAAAAACGAATGCTAATATCGTTCAAGTCGTAAGAAAGAACGAAGATACAGATTAGGCCTACTTCATTAATATTTATTTAGAAAAAAACATGCGATGTGACATCACATAATGACCATATGCACATCATGACTATGGGCATACACTAGAGAAACGTAATGAAATGTATGGTTAAAATGTATATCCAACATAGGCAAAACATATTTTATCAGGATGACACAATCAGGTGTTACAATGTACCTGTTTAGCACTGAATCAGAACTTATTGAAATAGGCCTAATTTTTTAAGGAATGTATGAATACGAAACTAGGATTAATTGAAGCATTTTGTATGTTTTTGTTTTTGTGTCCAGTCAGAAAATACAGGGTTGTTTTCTTTCTCTGTCTCTCTTCTTTTTATTTGTTTC